GTTTAGGGTTTAGGGTAGGTTTAGAGGTTTAGGGTTTAGGGTTTAGAGGTTTAGGGTTTAGGGTTTAGAGGTTTTGGGTTTAGGGTTTGGGGGTTTGGGGTTTAGGGTTTAGGGGGTTTAGGGTTTGGGGGGCGAGTTGCGCAGGTTGGAGACAACACAGAGGTCACTGTCTGGACACTCTTCGTCGTCTTCTGAGTCTAAGGGCCTCCAAACTCCAGCGGCTGTTTCTTATGTCCCGGCGTCTTGGTACCCGAAAGTCCTTTTTGGAGAACTCTGGAGTCGCAGCAGCCCCCATGCCGAGGCCATGTAAATTGGTCCGTCTGTCTCCGAAGACTGGGTTCTTGTTAAGGGGTTTACTTCAAGTTACTATAACAAGGAGCTATAGTAAATAGCACGGTCTCTTGACTATGGTAGCTTAAACTAACTTCCTTAACCCTAAGCCCCAAACCCTAAACCCTAAACTTTAAACTAGATTCCTTAACCCTAGGCCCGCAAAAGACAAGAACCCAGAAGACGAGGTGCTCTCGAGCATGCTCGGCTGCCTCCGACGCGCGGGCGCGGCGACGAAGAAGACCTGGGAGGTACCGAGGGCAGGGTTCAGGGCCTAGGGTTTTTCGGTTTCGGGTCGTCGCCGAGGATGATGTCGGCATGTCAGACAGGGTTGTCAAACTTCAGGGGTCGTCAGGGTTTAGGTTTATTTAATTCGGTTTAGGGTTTAGGGTTTAAGTTTTTTCGCCCAAAGAAAATCTGAAGGCTTTGCGAAGAAAAAAAGCACCAACTGAGCCCTCGAGTTGAGCCCTCCGGACCCTCTCTTTCTGGTTTAGGGTTTACATAGGCTTCAGGGTTTCGGGCTTTGTGGGTTTATGTAGTAATATAGGGTGTTTAGGTGGTTTTTTTGTTTAATGGTTCAGGGTTTTCTATGGGTCTTTCCAGGGGGCTGAGGGTGTTATTATGTAGGGTTTTTGCAAAGGGGTTTCTTTTTGGGTTTGTGGGTTTTGTGTAGGGTTTTATGTGTGTGTTTTCGGGACCCGGCGAACCCTTAAAGGACCCTGGAAGGACCCTTAAAGGACCCCTTATAGATCCCTTTAAAGGAACCCTAAAACCCCTAACCTGTCGGGTTTTATGTCCCTTTGGGCCTGACCCTGCGAGCCTCCGAGGTGCTCCAGGTGGCCAAGAGCTGCGAGCTGAGCCTCGACTGCCAGTTCCTCGTCCAGGCGCTGCAGTGGTGATAGAAAATAGCAGCAGCAGTACTACTAGAGGTAGTAGTGGTGGTAGTGGTAGTAGTGGTGATGGTAGCAGTAGCAGTAGCAGTAGTAGTAGTAGTAGTAGTAGTAGTAGTGGTGGTGGTGGTGGTGGTGGTGGTGAAAGTGGTAGTAGCGGTGAAAGTGGTGGAATTGGTGATGATAGTAGCTGATGAGCAATCAGTGAAGCATGACAATAAGACGAATGGTGCACATCTTCATAGTTAAAAGCAACATCCACTGTGGAAGTCGGGCGGAGGCACTTGATGCACTAAGGTGTGGAGGACTTAGGGTGCTCCGAGCGCATAAGCACAAAGCTAGCGCACTGCCCCACCAAACCCTGAACGCTGCCCTCTGCAATACCCTAGAACCCTGGGCCGTACCTTCGAATCCCCAATATCCCTAATCCGCCAGAACCGTGCCCCAAACCCTAAACAGCATTACGGGCAACAGCTTTCTGCCAGGTGGTGACGGCGCTTGGCTTCGCGAACGATACAGGTGAGCATGTGCATGGTATTTACAAGGGCCTACAAGATTTGGAAAAGGGTGTTGTCAGGGTTTCCTTCATGAAATCTGAAGCGCTGCAAACCCAATTAAAACACTCGTAGCAGAAACCATATCATGGGAGTGGGTTAGTCTTTGTTCCAGGGCACTCACTTACGGCGTGTGCACTGTTAACTGCGTCAGGATTTGTTTTGAGATATGCTCCTGCCAGTCTTGCGAGCTTTGCAACGACCTCAGGTGCCGTGGTTCTTCTCATGGAGAGCGTCCGCGAGGTCTACAAGGTGCAAGATTCCAGAGACGTTTTCTTCTGGCGACCTAGTACGCAGGCTAACAACTAGGTTGCATAAACTCAGAGCTGGCTAGAACCGCAACTGAGGATTCCTTATGACTGGCCGTGAAGCTTCAACGAGACCCCACGCTTAGACTGCAAATCCCCATCAATCCCTATAGATTATGGACCCCTGTTCTAACCACACGCCACCAGTTAACGAACCGTATTATGGCGAAGGCATATCTTCCCAGGCGCCAGCGTCGAATTCTTGATTCCGAGTGCAGCCCGGGAGAAGCACCCCTAAACAAGAGACCCCTTTTTTTTGGGAGAGGTGGAGCCCGACGTCTTCCTCTACACTGCAGCGATCTCGCAGTGTGCCCGAGCTGGCGATGTTGCTGGTGCTGAGACCGTCATCCGCCTGATGCAGCAGGACCAGGCGGAGCCCCAAAGTCAGGGTTTTTTCGAGGGGTCGAAGGGTGTATACGGTGCCTCAAAGCAGATTCATCATGGCTCCTGGCGGCTTGTGAAGATTCCGCGTTCTCAGGTGGAGCCCAACGAGCACACCCACTGCGCTATCATCGCCGTCTATAGCAAGGCTGGCAAACTGCTGGAGGCCGTCCGACATTTCCAGGAGGCCAACGAGAAGGTGGGTCGCTCCGGGGCTCCCCTAAAACTCGAAAACCGTCGGAGCTCTCCCATAGCTTTAGAGATCTCCCCTAAACCTATTTAATTTCCCACTCTTCAGACCCACTCCTCTTAAAAGGCCCAGGGCTCGAAACCCCCAGAAAACCCCCGCTCCCCCCCTCACAAAAACCCAGCCCTTCAGCCCGTCGAAGGTTCCTTGAAAGGGTTGCCAGAAGGGTACTATAAGACTATACTGTCAGGGCCTAGGATGGTTTAGGGTTTAAGGGTTCCCTTCGAAGGTGGCTCTGCCCATCGAGGGCTACACGAGCCTCCTCTCCGGCTGCCGGGCCGCGCTTGACAACCGCTGCGCGCTGCAGATCCTGAAGCGCGGCTGCCACGAGAAAGGGGGCTCAGAGAGGAAGAGAGCTCCTGGCTTTCGGACCTTTTAGGGTCGAAAAGGGCTTTCAAAAAATAAAATAAAGGCAAGGGTTTAGGACCTTTTAGGGTCGAGAAGGGATTCCAAAAAAATAAAGAAACAGAAAAGGGCGGCTTTCAACTTCAAGGGCTTCAAGACCCTAAGTAGGCCTCAACCTGAACCGAAGCCCTTCGTGGAGTCCTTAAAGACCCCACGATCCGTGCACGGAGCCCGGATCCGGGACCCAAGCACCGGCCACCTCCTGCTGCCCCCCCACAAAAAAGGGCTCCATTTTGCAGGGTTTTCTTTGAAGTAGGGGTTCCTTCAAAAAGGGGTTCCCTTATGGTAGGGTGGGGTTTTCGATAAGGGTTTATGGTTAGTGATAGATTCGGTCCTTAGTGATTCGAGTTGGGCTTTCGAGGTACAGTAGCAGCCGTAGCACCTGAGCATCGCTCCGACCAAGGAGATTGAACAGCTTGTAATTCTCAAACAAAACTGAGCCACCTCCAACGGAATGGTTGGAGACAAGAACGGACACCTTTTAGGTTCCCAAAAATAGTACAGTACCCTTCTAAAGGGATCCGAAGAAGAGGGACCCGAATTTAGACAAAGAACGGAAGAACCCAAGAAGTCACCTCGAGCTGCTCTGAAGCCCATCGGTTCTGCAACTTCCGCGCGACGGGGAGGCCCAAAGGGCCCTTCTTTGGGATCCTGGAGTTGTGCTGAGGAAGAGCCCTAGATGCCACCAAAGCCCTCCGAGCCTCAGGCCTACCAGCCTTTTTGTAGCCTTAACCACATAATATATGCCCATACAGTCCCATACGCCGAAAAAAAGAAGACCCTGAACCCTGCACCCTCCACTCGCCCAAAAATCCAAAAAAATCATATCCCTAAACCCAAAACCCCAAAACCCTAAACCCTATCCCTGCACCCTCAAAAGAATATATATATATATATATCCCCCTTGCCTACGTGCCTCAGGAAGAAGGCCAGACTCCAGGGCCCCGTCAAGTCTGCGTGCTACACGCTGGCCCGCCAGCCCCTCGGCAGTTTTCGTTCTCTGCGTTTTTTTGTTTTTCAACGTGTTTAAGGGAAGCTGTGTACGGGAACCTCTTTCCGGGAACTTTCAGAGGAGTCCTTGCAGGTTTCCCCGCTTCCGAAGCCCTGTTGTTGAGACCCCTTAAAAAGCCTTTCCGGTTCTGCTGCTAGAAACCCAAGCGCACGAAAAGCGGAGAGGTCCTGTGCCTTAGCCGGGGACGAGGCAGGTGCCGCCAAAGTGGACAAGTGGCAGAAGCGAGACGGCGCCTCGGCCCGGAAGCTTCAGACAGGGTTTCGGCATCCGTTTGTCTTCACGTTTACGGGTTTAGGGTTCGTAGTACAAGACCCCGACGGGGATGTCAAACTCAGTTTGTCTACTCTGTCATTCTGGGTCCATCGGGCCATGGGAAGGAGACGCGGCGTACAGAGCGAGAAGGCTTTCTGCCAAGACTACAAAGCCCTGCAGCCTTGTCTACATATTGGAGCCCCAAACCCGACCTTGAAACCCTCAAACCCCCAAGCCGCTGAGGCCCTAAACCCATGAAGTTTTCTACCCTCATAGAACACTTAAAGACCTAAATCCTAAACCCTAAACCCATAGAACCCTCAAAGAACTCAACCCAAAACCCTAAACAACCCTAAACCCATAGAACCCTTAAAGAACTCCTTTCAGCTCTGAAGCCCTGAAAAAGGGGACCCCTTCTCACCCCTACTTACGGCTCTCTTAAAGGGGACCTGGCCTATATCTCCAAGGGTCCCCCTAATCCGAACCCCCATAACAAGGGACCCTCATCTAGGGAACTACCCATATAGGTTTCCATATAGAAACCCTTATGGAAATCCTTATAGATCCCTTTCAAGAAGCTCTCAAGTCCCCCTAAGGAGCCCTCAAGTTTCCCTAATCCGAACACCCACGAAGAGAAGCCCTGAGAAGGTGTGATCACCCACGTCCCCACGAGTACCGTGGATGACCCTTCCACGGGGGAGCGGCTCCCTTTCCAGGACAGCGCGGTTCTTCTTTGAAAAAGGCCTCCTTTAAAAGGCATTGTGGTTTAGGGTTAGGGGTTAGGGTTTAGGGTTTAGGGTTTTAGGGTTAAGGGTTTAGGGTTTTCTTCTACACCTAAGGCTCAAAATACCCCAAACCAAAGGCCTTATATAGTACGGTCTTTGGGCCCGAAAGCTTTATTATATAAGACCTCAGAGCGTTAGGGTGAGGGTTTACGGTTTTGAGTGCGTAAGGCTCAGGGTGCTTTCGGGTTTCGGGTTTCAGACGTTTTGCTTTTTGGTTGAGGGCCCAGGGCACTCCACTCTTACAGGGGTTTTACAGCCCCAAACTGTACATACACGGATCTTTCGGGCTTGGGGGGGTGTTGAGTCTAGGGGCTTGAGTCATGTCAATGGGGTCCGAGCCCAAACCCACGACGAGCCATGAAACAAAAACTGCCAAAGCCAGGAGATCCGTTCCAGAAGCCCCTACATGAACCTTATCAAATCCTGTTGAAGCTCGTGTCCTAAACCCTAAACCCTTCAAGCTGTGAAAGATTTTTAAGCACTTTAGAGAGCTCCTCTTTCTCCGAGCGAGCCCCCTCCAGCCCGGCAACGACGACGTGGCCGTGGCTGCCTGCGTGCAGCGGATGATGGGCCGCCTCAAGAGCGCTGGGTTCTTTGGTAGTCCTTGAAGTGTTAGGGTTTGGGGTTAAGGGTTTAGGGTTTAGGGTTAAGGGTTAAGGGTTTAGGGTTTGGGGTTTAGGGAGGGGGAGGGGGGGCTTTCGGGAGTTGTGTACAGCCTAAACTCGCAGCTTGGAAGGCCTAGGGCAACGTGGCGCCCAGAAAGCCAAGCAAGAAACCAGGAAAGGCGGCCTTCAGTGTGGGCTCATCGGGCAGTTCAGGGCGTTTTTTGAAGGCTTTCCGTGCCCTTCTTTCACGAGCTTCTTGCAAACCCTCCACCCAAAAACCCAAAACCCAAAACTCCTGGAAAACCCTAATTACTATAATCATAATCAGGAACCCCCAAAACCCTATTCTAATTATTAAGGCCCTAATATTAAACCCAAACCCAAGACCCCAGGCTTTGGGTTTTGTCTCAGCCAACGCAAGGTACGAGCCGCAGCTCTGGCAGTACGATCCGGAGATCTCCCAGGAGCTCTTTGAAAGGGTACTGAAAGCATGCAGGAGTCTTCTATAGTCTGTATGGTTCCTAAACCCTAAACCCTAGACCCCTAAACCCTAGACTCTAAACCCTAAACCCTATAGTCTGTATGGTTCCTCTCTAGCTGTTTCCGGGTCTGGGGTTTTAGGATTCCTTTTGATCGGGTTGTGAGGTTTTCGGTTTTCTATCCAGAAATTTCCAGTTCAAAGCAGAGAGTAAACTTTTTTTGGGCATCGACGGGGCACTCTGAAAGCCTTAAAGCCCGAACCACACTTTTTCGGTGGGGAGCAGAGCGCTGGTATTTCTCCACGGATTTAGTGCTTGGGAGGGGAAAACTGTGGCCCGTTTTTATGGAGAGGACGGAGCACTGGTATTTCTTCACGGATTTAGTGTTTGGAAAGGGAAACTGTGTTTTTTTTTCGGTGGGGGTCGGAGCGCTGGAATTTCTGCACGGATTTAGTGTGCGGGAGGGGCAAACTGTGTCCTGCCTTCCGCGACCCTCAGCGTTTGGGCTTCCTCAACTCCAAATCTTTACAGACCCTTGGGGCACTGCTGAAACCCTTGCTTCCGAAACTCGCCCGGGCGCCCGAGATTTCGAGGAGGAGCGCGAGGACCGGCTGCAATTCCACACCGAGAAGAAGGCCCTGGCCTGGGCGTTGAAGCACTTTCCCAAGGCCGGCCGAGGGGGTGGCTTCTTGGGTTTATAGGGCTCAGGGGCCCTAAGCCCTAAAACCCTAAAAACCCTAAACGGTTTATAGGGTTCAGGAGCCCTAAACCCTAACCCCTAAACGGTTTATAGGGGCTGGGGTGGGAGGGTTTGCGGCTGCAGTTTCGGGCTTAGGAGAAGGCCCTGAGTTTTCTTTTTGCAACACGGCCCCTGGGCTTGAGCTTGGCTTTCGGCCCGGCTTCGAGGATACCGGAGGAGTCTTCAGTCTTCGGATTAGGGTTTAGGGTTTAGGGTTTAGGGTTTAGGGTTTAGGGTTTAGGGTTTAGGGTTTAGGGAATTGCATGAGCTCTCTAACGTAGGTTTCAGGGGGTTTTTTCGGATCTAGGAGGGATCTGAGTCCTGCAAGACCATGCAAAACCGGCTGAGCACCATCAGGCTTGGCCCCCTGATGTCCAAGAGACTTTGCGCATGAACGCTCCTGTTGCGTCACCCCCAACGCCTTTGAACAATGCCTTGCGTAGACTGGCATCAGCACGGCAATTTGCTTCGAGACTGCGCAGCACAGTTTGGGGACCAAGAAAAGGCATGAGCAAGGGGTGTTGCCACATGTCAACATCTTGCCTTCAACGCCTATGTTTAGTGACGGTGCCCTAAACCCTAAACCCCAAACCCTAAACCCCCTAAACCCTAAACCCGAAACCCGAAACCCGAAACCCTAAACCTAAATCCTAAAATCCGGCCAGGGCTCGAGCATCACGGTGCGGAAGACCATCCGGTGCTGTGTGGACTGCCACAACGCCTTCAAGGCTTCTTGCGCAGGGGCGGCTGGCTCGGGTTTTAAGAATCAAAGGGTTTAGGGTTTAGGGGTTTAGGGGCTTAGGGGCTTAGGGTTTACTGGTTTAGGGTTTAGGGTTTAGGGGTTTATAGAAACCTAAATAGTTACCAAAGATATTTTTGGGGGTTCCGTATTATGATGATACTCTAAAAAGGAGCCCAAAACCCTATTCTAGTCATGAAGGCCCCTAGCCTATATTATAGAACCCTATATTATAGATCCATTATGGAACCCGTCAAGGCACCCCAAAAACCTTATTCTGATTATCAAGATCCCTATAATATGGTACTCTTCTTTAGCCCTTATAGACCCCCTTTAAAAGGAGCCCTATTCCAATTATTCAGATTCCGTTTTTCGGGCGGCTTTTACGCTGCAGTCAGCTTGGGCCCTGCTGACAGCCGCTTCGGCGTGTTGGGGGCCATCAGCTCTGTGGCCGTGTTGTCGTGGTTATGATGATTATATGAAGTTATAGATGGGTAATTCATTAATACATATATATATAGATAGATAGATAGATAGATAGATAGTTAGATAGTTAGATAGTTACATAGATAGATATAGAGAGAGGCTCGTTGACTCGCTTTGTGTTTCCAGAAACCGTTGAAACTTCGACGCCATGTTTCGAGGACGTGGCTCAAAGGAAGGAATCGGCGTTCACCTAAACCCTAAACCCTAAACCCCCTTTGTGTCCAGTGTTGAAAGCACCTTTCTGGGGCTTCGGGAATGTTGAAACGCTCCGAGAAGAGGTGGCCTCCAAAGCCTATGGCCGAACCCTCCGTATCTTGGACCAGGCGGAGTGGGGGGTGGGTTCAGGGTCTAGGCCCGTTCAGGCTTCACGGCTTTGGGTTCAGGGTCTCGGCTTTAGAGTCTAGGATTGGGATATTGGGGCATGTACCGTTCATCCGAAGACAGTTCTCAGACGAAGTAGCCTCGAAGCCCACGCCATATCTCTTTGTTGTACCACAAATCATAGAGCTCAAGAATCCCACTTACCTCATGACCGCCAGCCGCCTGATTCAGGTCCGTCAGCATGAATTCACCGCGGGCAAGTGCTCATGTGGCGATTGGTGGTGAGTGCTGTCATGCAGCCGAGAACGTTTCACGGGCAGTTACTGTCCACAATGCAGGAACGGACGGCCTTCGTTGGTGCAGGTGTGTGAAATTGATAGGCAGAGATGGGGCCTGAACGGTGTAGCGGCACGAGACGTAGCGACGCGCTTCGTGGCCTAAGCGCAGAACAGACGTGATCTGCATGTGAAACAGACGAATTGCATCCTCAAGAGAACAACCATACACAGACAACAGTCGCACAATGTGATCTGCAGCTTGGTTAGGTAGGGTTGACAGATTGGTTCAACCAGTCGGGATCACAGCAAGATGACACGTGCTGAATCAGAACACGCCCCGGCACTGGATCAGACAACTCAGCGTCCCCCCCTCACCAGAGCGTTTTTTGATATGTCTGCTTGCTTGAGTTTTCACAATCGACTGCTGCGAATTTCCCTACAGCGACTTCAGGGGGTGAAGAGGCGTGTACTAGTTGTCATAATTAGCCTGTGAAGCACTGTAGATTTTTGGCCGTGTAGGAATAGTTGGCAAGGCTAGTCAACACTGGTTGGGGCCTTGGGCTGGAGCCAATAATCTCGTCGCCACGACTCTTTGCTCAGCTGTCATGACCTGGTCCGTGTTTCGGCATGTTAGAACCGTGAAAGTCTAAATGTCGATATGGCTACGGTGGTAGGCTGTTGCCATTCATGCTTCGAGAGAGATTGCCCACAACAATCAATTCCGTCCGTGTGTATAGTTTGTCAGGCTGCATTCGCTAGTTGGAGAGTTGCAAGTGCCGTGCCATCTCCCGCCGCGCCTGCGCAGGGCCAAGGCAGGCGGCAGGAAGTTCAGGGCAAAGAGGCAGCCAGGTGTCAGTTGGGTTATGTTGGAGAAGGCCCGCTTGAGACTCTTGTCGCTGCTGGCGTGTGACGAGAGTTGAGAAGCCTGTCTGATCCTTGCATGACCATCACTTGTAATTGTATCATGGGACATCATGTCGCCGGGTCATTATTGAAAGTCCAGCAGTTGTCAGTTCCAACGGCACTCGCAGGCTTGGGCCCCCTCTGACCCTCGCCCTGACCCTGGCCCCTCCTGGCCCTGGCCCCCCCCGCCCGGCCCTGAACCCCTTTGCGGAGATGAAGAAATTCAAGAGACATACAGTCAACAGGATTTCCAGCGGTATCAAGAAGTATATCGGCGCGACATACAGAATGGCCAACGTCAAGACCCGCAGGAATTACAAGCGGCGCATGATTGCGAAGTATGTTATGGCCTCCTGGAAAATGTACGCACCAGATTCCGGAACACAGCGCATACAAGATGCCAAGTTGCTAGCTTTGCTACAGAAGAGAGACCATCTCCATTGGAACCAGGTTTGTACACTATCCATTCTCCCTTCAGATTTCCACTTTCCAGGGTGTAACGCCAACAATAGTCCAGGTGTCTGGACTTATTTTGCATGAGGCCAGTGCTGCTCCTGACCCATCTCCCTTGAATCATGATCCGAGCCCCCAGCGCAGCGAAATGACACACGGTTCTGGCCTTCCATAGATACTGCGAAGCACTCGCTGCCAAGCTTTTCTGCCATGCTGATCGGCTCAGTTTTCAGGTAGACGTCGGGGAGCGCCTGAATCGCAGTCCACCCATCTTAGGCATTGCTCCCGGGACCATGCTTTCAGCTTTTCCAGGATGGGGCAAGGATGGTGCAGAGGCACATGAGAGGGTGACTCCAGAGATGTGGTGTGTCACCGAAGAGGACCTTCTCCACCGCCTGTCGAGATCGTTCACGTAGGCTTCCTCGGGTATCACCGTCGGGTTCTACAGTTGAAGCGATAAAACAGGGATCATCTTGGGCATCGGTAGAGCCTTGTGCGATAGAAGGGAGCGTCACTCAACAGGACCTGAAGTTCTTGCGCAACGAGATTAAGCACGCGGTCCGAGCAGGGAACATCAGACCAACTGAGCGGGATGATTTTGACCCGGAAGATGACACAAGGAGATGTTTTAGCCATCAAGTTTTGTGCTTGGCTTACTGTTTCTGTTCAATATATAATAATAATAATAATAGTAATAATAATAATAGTAATAATAATAATTAATAATAATAACAATAATAATAATAAATATTAATAATAATCATAATAATAATAATAATATTCATAATATAGTAATAATATAGTAATGATATAGTATTAATATAGTAGTAATAATATAGTAACAAGCTACGCCTCGAGGCTGGAACGTTGGTACGCGCAAGCAACCAAGGACACCATCGGCCCCAACATGTACAACGTCGTCGACAACTACATCAAGCCGCTGTGCCAACAGGCTGGGAACTCCAGTTGGGCACTCCTGCGAAACCCAGATGGCCTCAGGTGCGATCTCTTCATCACGCACGGGTGGGCGGAGGGTGTCTATGAGTTCATCGACAAGGTTCTGGCCTCGTGGCCACACGGCGCCACTGCAGCGTGGTGCTGCGTGCTGGCTAATCCTCAGAACTTGAACATAGGTCGGATGCTTGAGACTCCCCAAAGCTCACCGTTCGCAACGGCTTTGAAGGCTGCGCGTTCGGTCATGGTGGTGGGAAACAGGACGGGCAGCATTTACGCCCGGATCTGGTGCACCTATGAGGCCTACCTAGCTTTCATGTGGGACAAGCCTATCTTCACGGCACATCCACCCAGGAGGGGGTGGGTGCGAGCGGTGCACGCAATGACGATGGAAGCAGGCATCAAGTGGCTGGAGGGCATGTTCCAAGCAAGCAGTGGGCTTGATTTTGAGACGGCCCGGTCCGTGGTAATTGGCTTCAGTTCCCCTGTGTTTGTGCTGTCCTACCTGACCAGCCGCCTGTACCGTTGGTCACAAAAGAGGAGCGAGTGCAATGATTTGGGCCAGGGCTTTATTTCCATCTTGCATGCTGAAGCTAGTGATCCCCAGGACAAGCAAAACATTCTTCAGGACATCGGCAGCAGCACAGAAGATGTTGACGACTTCATCCGATTACTGTTGCAGACTACAGTGGTTACCCCAGACACCAAGCAAGCCAAAGCGCTAGGAGTGCGATTCTCCGGCGTGGCGGACTGGAGCCTGCCTCTGCTTGTGGCCGTGTACTGGCACCTGGTATGGCCCACACAGCTCTTCTCCGGTGAAGATGTGGATTGCAACTTGAGCATGATTTGCTTCATTGCTTGCTCCATAGCCTGGATGACGTCAGACTTCTTCCACAAAGCCTTCATCCGCTCGGTGCTGACAAAGCTCGGGATCTTCCTCCTGATCCTGCATGCCCTGATGCTTGTTCCCGGAGTTTTCGAATTTGACATCGTGACCAATGCCGGCACCACCGCTCTGGAACAAGTTGTGGTCCACATCGTGGGAGTCTTTGCAACAGCTTGCTGCCTCCTAGGAGTCCGTGGTTTGGCCCGCATTCCTAGATTGGGCTGCTCCATGGCCAGCCTCTTGACCCCCGGGGCCCCGGACTTCTCTTCTTGGATGCCGGCATGTCGGTGCTTAAGCTGCCTCTCTTCACGATGCCAAGACCACTGCCTGTTCTCTTCTTGGAAGGTGGTGGTATGTCACCCGAAGGAGGTGGTATGTCACCCACGTTGCTTGAGCCGCTGCCTGGGCTGGATGAGATCGTGCTGGCGCGGACGGACGTCTGAAATTCAAAATGCTCTGAGCTTTGGCCGGTCCTCGACATCAGACAGTTTGATAGATGGTTGCCTGGCTGACCCCCACAGTTTCTCAGAGCTAATTTAAGTGTTTTGTTGCCCCTGATATCAGGTGCTTTTAACAATCGCGCACTTTGCCAATTTGCGCAGCATGCTCATGTTGGAAGAGTTTTTATGCTAGAATAACAGATGCACTCCATTTGCAAGTTTGTTCAGCTTCTGTCGGTTTAGCTCTTGCCTTTTCTTGAATCCCAACAGCTTGAAGTTTTAGTGCTCCGCACGTCGGAGTGTCTGGCTCGCAGCGTGGATGCTCAACAGCAGCATTCCTTAGGCTTCCGCCACCAACTGCAATTTTGGGCCGTTAAGGCTTTGTTACAGAGTGCGAGTGGTCCTCAAAATTGTGGGGGAACCCCTTTGAAAAAGGGGGGCCGCGTAGGGTCCTGGAGTCTCAACAGCAGCATTCCTTGGGCCGTCAAGGCTATATACCTGTGTACGGCGCGAGCGATGCACAAAAGTCTAAAGGGAACCCCCTGAAATGGGCGATGTGGGAATTACAAGCCCTCTCTGCTTGTCGTATTGTGGTCCCTGGACCCCTGAGGCCTCCAACATCCGCGAATTCCAAGCCCTGAATCCGTTAATTGCACCTTGAGCCGTTGAAGTGTGCCGGACGTTTCAAACTAAGCCTTCTAGCTGGGCAGCCTAGATTTACATCCTTTCTTTCCCACAAGCCCGCAAAGACCAAACAGAAGCCCTATTGCCGAACCAGGCCACGCAGTTCTTCAGCAAGTTTCATGCCTCTCCCGATGAGGGCTGGGATCCCACAAGCGAGGCGCACCTGGCGAGTTGACGATTTCTGGCTTGTTAAAAGCCAGAGTCAGAAACTAGAGCAGCCATATTCGGGAGGCTAGATTCTGTTTTTCTTTTTTTGGGGGAGGGGGTCCCCGCAGTGGCCTGCAGATGCGGAGGGCCCTAAGCCTTCGCAGACCAGCAGTGAATTTGAAATGGGGGCCTTGCGCTTTGACTGTCGGCTTGTCTACGTGGAAAGACTCCGTCAAGGCCGCGCCCCAGACCTTGAGTCCTGCAGCCCTAAGCCTGCCTAAGCCCCTAAACCCCTTAACCCCTAAACCCTTAAACCCTAAATCCCAAACTGTGACATAAACCCCTAAACCCCCTAGACTCCTAAACCCCTAAGCCCTAAACCCCAAAGCTGGGGTCCGACAAGCTTCTGGTGGCCCGGGCCAGGACCGGCTCAGTTTGGGGTTTAGGAATTAGGGGTTTAGGGGTTTAGGGGTCTAGGGGTTGAGGGGTCTAGGGGTTTAGGGCTTTGGGGGTTTAGGGGTTTAGGGGTCTAGGGTTTGCTTTGGTTGTAGGGTTGAGGTCGGGGGTGTCGGGTGTGGGGCCAAGGGCTTCTAGCTTGCAAGGCTTGCGTATGATTTGATCCGGGAGACGTCTGCTCCTGCTGTTGAGTTTGGGATTTGGGTCCGGGGGCTTGCGGCCCTCAGGTGCAGCATATCGGGACGTGGAGTTTGGAAGAGCTGGGGTCAGGCTCCTTTCGAGATTGACGTCTCCTGGCCCCTTGAAAGATTTCCTACCTGATGGCCCAAACCAGAATAGGTCTACGAGCCCACACAGTGCGAGATGCCTAATTTCTGCTCAGTATCTTAACCCCGAGCCCTAAAGCCCACATTCCAAACCGGTCCTGAACCCTGAAACCCAAGAACGCTCTACAGGCCCTACATGTAACCCTGACTTTGAGAGGCCCCTCCATGTAATTGCCTTGTAGTTCATATGCAAGAAGGCCCAAACCACCAAAGCCACAAAGCAAGAGGTACTTGAACGCTCTGGGGGATCCTTTGCCAGGACGGATGGATGGATCCCAAAGCCCCACAGAACTCCGAAGCCCTCAAAGCCAGAAAAGAGACCCTACAGCCTAAACTAGGTTCTTGTTAGGGAAGTTTAAGATTTAAGCTACCATCATAAAGAGACCATATTATTTGCTATAGATCCTTATTCTGGTAACTTAGATAATATCCCCTAACAAGAACCCAGTAAACCCTAAACCCCTGAACCACCCTCAACCCTAGAAGCCCAAAGCCCCAAATCCTAAACACGCCAGGACGGCTGGTGCCGGCAATCAGGGGCTTCAGACCGCTGACTTCCCAGCGACACGCCGCTGGCCCAGCCTCACTCTTCCCTTGGTTCCTGTTTTAGGGATTCAGGGCTTCCCTAAACCCTAAACCCTAAAGAGTGTTTAGGGCTTTTCAGGGCTTCTAAGGGCTTTCGGGTTTTAGTCTCTTGGGTCTCGGGTTTAAGGCTTAGGCTTTAAGGTTTTTGGGTTTAGGGCTTTAGGCTTTTGGGTTTAGGGTTCTAGGCATTTGGGTTTAGGCATTTAGGTTTAGGCTCTAGGGTTTTCGGCTTTAGGGTTTAGGGGTTCTAGGCTTTTGGGTTTAGGCTTTCAGGCTTTAGGGTTTCGGGTTTTCGGCTTTAGGGCTTAGGGTTTTAGGCTTTTGGGTTTAGGGTTTAGGGCTTCGTCCGCGCAGCAGCTGTAGTTGCATGAAGAAATGGGCGCCCCAACACAATTGAGTTTAAGGTTCAGGGGTTCAGGGTATTGGTTAAAGGTCTGGGGGATTTATGGCTAAAGGTCAGTCTAGGGGTTTAGGGCCTAGGGTTTACCTGGACACCGACACAAAACGCTAAGCGGATGTAAACACTTGAGGACAACTGAACATCACGAAAACACTTGCCAGCCGACCAAAACAAACACCTGGAAAGCAATAATAATGAGGTCCCCTAGAACTCCACGCCAGCCAAGGCAAGCACCAAACGAACTGATCCAAGTGGCTGCGATGGCAGCACATGCAGTCCCAGCACACTTCGAATGCAGAGCCCCCGGCCATTCAAGCCAACGACACCGGCAAATTCTGCAGATAGATATATGTCGTTTAGCGCACCCGGCTTCCCAACACACCCTGTCGAGATCAATTCTACATGGCAGGGTTACCTATCATTTGCATGCATGTTTTTCCAGCTCTACTGCAAGTTCTGTGGGGAAGGGTGGCGGGCGCACCTCCTGAGCATCCGAGGACATGTCCAGGATGGATCTGGGAGCCACCCTCACGACCGCAGGAGGCAGGGCCCAGAATGCAAACAGCAGCCACAACAGTGGCGGCATCAACCGTTGGGTCCGGTTACGATATATACACGATGCTTTTTCCTCTGCATGGTTTTCGTTTTTTGCTTTCGCTTTGCTAAACGAGCTTTTCAAGGCTATGGCCTGCACTGGGTTCATATGGCACTATTCTTCTTTGTGAAATCTGGCCCTAAACGTGCGTGAGACTGGGTTCATATGGCCCGTTTCAAAGCCCCCTTTGGCTTTTCATATTTCTTGGATGCCTTGGCCCTCAACTTGCCACAGGCTTTGGCGTTCAAGAGGTGTCGTTTGGCCATGATGCCCAGCTGCTCGCGCGGGCTGTTCCCCCTCACCACCGAAGCCTGTAGTCCCAAAGCCCCAAGATGCCATAGCCGACCCTAAACCCTACACCCTAAACCCTATACCCTAAACCCTAAACCCTGCCCGGAAGGCCTCATCCCTGTGCCAACCCTCGACTCCAGATCCGGAAGCTAAGGGTCCGCAGCCCCTGCCTTGCCCAGGGCGCAGCCATGGAGGACTCCGGTGAGAAGGAGGAGGCGAAGGAGGCGCACCCGGCAGAGCCCCCGCAAAAGGGCCTCAAATTAAGAGACCTGCCTTGCTTGCTGAGGGCCGAGCTGTTGGATTCTCAGGGCACCTGCAGCTTCCTCACCTAGCGGTGCCGGCTCCTGAAGCGCGGGACTGAGTCTTGGGGTTTGGGGTTGCAAGGGTTTAGGGGTTCGACCTGCCGCAAAAGCTCTGGTGCGCCTCCGAAAGGCTTGCAGCCCACGGTTTAGGGTTTAGGGTTTAGGGGAACACATGGGAAGAATATCGACTCGCACACCTGGCAGACGAGAGAGGAAGCCCGCAAACATCTCAGGTCGGCCAGCTCTTCCGCTATGCCCGGTGGCCAGCTGCGAACTACGGACCCGCATGCCGTAAGTCAGCCATAGATTGCACAATCCTATTGTGTCATCTTTGTATATATGTGTATACACACACACATATATGTGCTTTCATGTCCGTAGTTGTGCTTTCTGGTGGCACCGTCGTGATTCTTGTTATCCTGAATATTTCCCGCTGTCGTTGTTCGCGCCCACGCATTTATGTAATGGGCTAAGTTTGTTCTCTTCCAAAGTAGCATTCTGTTCGTGTATTGACTTTATCATCGACACCCTGATCAGCATCATCAATCTTGCCCAACGGCAATGTTCAATACTGTTTTTCTTTCGGTCGTATGGTTTTGCACGATGAGTCTACTCTAGAATCCTGTGTACCATCACAATACTGTCATACCTCGTGCTTGCTTCGGAGCGCTGCTCCGCAGCAGTTGCATGTTGGGGGATAGTTTGCTAGATGCCACTCTTCCACACGTGTTGTGTGTGTGTGTGTGCACGCACGTATGAGTATTTGCAGAGTCTGCCGCATATCGATGATGAAAAAAGCGCAGACACAGAAACACATATGCAGTCACATATCTATCTATCCCTTTTAAGTGTATACATAAATATGAATTCATAAGTAGATAAATATCTGATCAAGTTTGTGTGTGTGTGTTTGTTTGTTTGTTTGTGCATGTATGTATGTATGTATGCATGTATGTATGTATGTATGTATTTATGTGTATGTTAGTATGTGTATGTATGCGTATGTATGTGTATGTATGTGTAT